GACCAGGCATTCCTCAAGGAACCCCGGTGGCCACATCAGCTCTAAAATGGCTGGGTGAGGGGTGGGGTGTCGCCTTCGCATTTTTTCCCTCTCCGCCCCCATCGTCTGAAACCCAGCCTGCTCTGTGGTTCGTCAGCTGTCAGGCAAGCTCAGGGCTGGTCCCGCCTTTGGGCTCGGGGGTCCCAGGGCCTGGTGCCGTTACAGAGGGGCTTCTGGGCCCAACCCCTAGGCTGGTTCACTGCTCGGCACCATTGCAAGTCCAGTTTTCAGAGATTCTCTTCTTGAACTTGAAGAGAGGCCAGGCCCTTCTTTACCTCTCACCTGGGGGTTGAAAGCAGGAGCCCCAGACTCTCCCTTGGGGCCCCAGACCAGAGGCAGGGGAAGTGTTGGGAGGAGGGTCGAATGCCCGCCGGTGGTAATGAGAACCAGCAGGCCCGTGAAAGGGGCCTTGTGTGTGCCCCAGACACAAAGCGGGCTCAGATGGGGAGGGGCAGGAGCGAAGTCCTGTGCCTCCGCCCAAGTTAGGATTCCAGCCGGGACCCTCAGAGTCACACATGGTGGCCACCCCAGGGCCAGGCTCCTTAGAGAAGCCTCAGAGAGGGGCAAGACATTTGTGTTTCTTTATTTAAAAAAATAAACAAGAGATGGTTACTGCAAGAGGTGGGTGTAGGGGGGGTGATTTAGCCAGGGCCCCCCAACCTTAGGACCGGCCTCGGGGCTCCCTCTGCCTTTCCCTGGAGCCTTTTCTCCCACCCAAACCCTTTTTCTGGACTCCAGAACCTTCCATCTGAGTCTCCACCCCGGTGGGAAACAGGGTGGTGGGCAATAATACTCACCTCCAGGTCTGCCTCTCTGTGGGGGTGGCAGCAAGTTTGGGGGGGCCCTGTCCCGACGTGCTGCTGGCCCAAGCCCAGCCTAACCAATGTGCAGACTACTGTACACATTCGGAGCCCCCTGAACAGGTAGTCTGAACACTGGGTTGGCGAGACTGGCTGTCCGTCCCGTGGGCCCCCCAGGCAGCGGCAGGGCCACCACGCTTCAGCGCCTCTGAGCGGGCGAGGAAGCCACTGCTCCGCCCGTGACAGTCCGCTCTGGCTTTTCTGACGTGGCAGGGCTGGGCTGGCGTGCATCTGGAGAAAGTTGTGGGTTTTCAGGAAATCCTAAGGAGGGGGTGGGTGGGAAGGAGGGTTTGGGTCCGTGGCCTCTGCGTGCGGAGACGCTTTCCTTGGGGGTCGGGATAGGGGCGGGCGCACACGCGCACACAGACACACACAGCGGCCGTGTGTGTGTGTCTGTGTGTGTGTCTGTGTGTGTGTCTGTGAGTGTGTGTGTGAGTGTGTGTGTGTGTTTGTGCGTGTGTGTGTCTCTGTGTGTG